TTGCTAAGAAAGTAAATCAAACTGACAAATTGTATCAAGAAAGGGTATACCCAGAAAGGGTATTATATTGTTCTTTATTTTTTTTTAAAAAAAAAATGTAACATTAGTTCTTCCCTGTAGATTATAAAATTTGAAACATGGTTCAATTTCTGAAAAGTTTCATGGCTATGCAGAAATGTTGCATTGATTTTATTAGGAATGAGGAACCTGTGGCCCAGGCAATGTGTGATTCATGTCCTTTTAAAAAAAAATCTGTTTGCAAAAATCTCTTTTTTTAAAGAAGAGACTGGACAGTCATTTGTCCGAAATGGTGTAGGGTTTCCTGCCTGAGCAGGGGGTTGGACTAGATGACCTCCAAGGTCCCTTCCAACTTTACTACTACTATTATTAAGATATCAGCTCAGAGCCAAGAACAAAGAGACTCAAATAGGACATTCTTGGATTTCAGTGCCTTTCTGGATTTTATGACTTCTGCTCAGGAACCTCTATTAATTTGAAATTTATTGGGAGGCAGTGCTAATTAGCAAAATCTACTTTACACATGCTGAAAGGCTGAGTTTGAGAGTTCCAAATATTATCTTAAATTCACCATACTTTTACATATTATAGTTATAATACGTATAACCCTTTCTCCAAAGAACTCAGGACAATTACAGGTAGTCTTTGACTAACGCCATTCATTTGAAGTTACAGTGGCACTTTGTAACCTTTGTAGTGTCTCCATGGTCATGGGCTCAAAATTCGGATGCTTCACAACTGGCATGGTATTTATGACAGGGTCGTGTGATCACATGTTGTGATTTTCTGACAAACAAAATCAATGGAGAAGCCAGATTCACCTTATTAACTTAACAGCTGCAGTGATTAACTTAACTGTGGCATGAAAGTTCATAAAATGGAGCAAAACTCACTTAACAACTGTCTTGCTTAGCAACTGAATTTTTGGGCTCACATATGGTTGTAAGTTGAGAGTTATCTGTGTTCTCCTTTCCCTAACCATTTCATCCTCTGTTTCAGCTTTTTTTCTCTTTCATTCTCCTTCCAACTCTGTTATTCTGTTAAGTAGATAAAGCTGAAAGTTAGCAGCCCTAATATTATTTCTTCTTTGCTGACTTCTCCACTTTGTCTCACTGGAAGCTCCACGCTGCCTTTCTTAAAAACACAAAAACTGCTGGTTTGATGATAGGTGTTATCAACCACATCTAAAAAAATAAGATTTGATATGGATAAAATGAGATGAATAAAATTTTCTCTGTGCATTACTTTTCTCTTTCTCTCAAAAAAAGTTGGCATAAATGCAACAAATAAAACAATTTTGGGGGGAAAAATGACATTTTTTTCTAGGGAATAAGGCATATTTAAAAACATATGGAAAGAATGGAAGCTACATTATAATGAGTTAAACTATTGGCTCAACTAATTCTAAATTGTGGAGTCCTCAGTGCTTTGCTGAGCATGGTGGCTTGCTTGCAGATGTTTCATTACGCAACTAGGTAAATATCATTAATACTCCATAGTTCAACCCTGAATTATGTATATTCTATTGTAATTCAAGATTTCTAGCTGATTAGGACAATGGTTTTACGGGATTTTTTTGGGGAGGGAATCCTCATTTTTCCAGTGTTACTTGGAGGTACAAGAAAATGTACAAATAGTCTTGACTTACAATCATTCATTCAAAGTTATAATAGCACTGAAAAATGTGAGCTATGATCATTTTTCACACTTACAATCTTTTCAGCATCCCCATGTCATGTGATTAAAATTCAGACACTTGGTAAGTGGCATGTATTTATGATGGTGACAGTATCCTGGGAACATATTATAATCACCTTCTGACAAGCAAAGTCAATGGGGAAGGCAGATTCTCTTAACAATCATGTTACTAACTTAACAACTGCAGTGATTCACTTAACAAATGAGGCAAGAAAGGTTGTAAAATGGGGCAAAATTCACTTAACAACTGTTTTGCTTAGCAATGGAAATTTGGGACTCAATTGTGATCATAAGTCAAGGACTATTTTAACCTTCTATCTGCAAAACAGTATTCTACCATTGAATTATAAACATATTTTGTGTTGTTTTGGGACTGGTTCACTGAAAAGGTCTTAGATTCAGGAGTTGCCATGAGATTGTACCTTAAAGAAGACTATCCAGTCTTTTGAACAATACCAATATAGAAAGTGCTAATTAGATCAAATAAGATGATCTCAAAAATTATCTTTGTTGAAATAAGTATTCATTTTTTTGAATATCTTATATTTATATAGATATGCATAAACTGATGAAATAAGGGCAATTATTCACACACACACACAAATATATGTGTGTGTGTGTGTGTGTGTGTGTGTGTGTGAATAATTGCCCTTATTTCATCAGTTTATGCATATCTATATAAATGTAAGATATTCATATATATTACAAGATTGGAGAATTTTAGAAAAGAGAATTTAATGTATAGAATTTTTAATGTTTTAGATTTTCATATAAGATTTAACAGTGAGCTTTGAAAAAGGGTTTTGGGAGGACAGGGTCACATGTCAAAAAAATTTTTAAATGTAATTTGTCAATTCTATGTAAGAAATGTTGAAAATGAAGTAACTATCAAATCTGGCATGTTCTATGTCCTTTCTATCTCTAAACATGAACATATGCGCACATAAATGTGCTTGTACGTATCCCTCTCCCTTGTGCTCAGACCTATATACAAACATATATCTCTGTCAGGTTATTAGTGAATTTTTTGCTTTCACACATATTTACATGCCTGCTCACATACATGTACACACCCATCAACTTGCCAAACGTAATCACCCACACAAATCTTCTTTTCAAATTCTTAGCAACTGGCTTACTGTGATCATCTGTAATCGTAAACTGCCTACATCCCGGGAATATTGCTACAAAAACAACCTCACACTCCAATTTCTACATTTAGCAGCCCAACTATAAATTTCTAGACATCTCCTAAATAAATAATAAGTAAATGTCAATGCTATCTTCTATATTTTTGCCTGTTTAAATGAACAAAAAAAAATATTGGGGAGCTTAGAAAGCTGAAAGTTGTGACTTACACAAAAAAGGGTGACTATTTACCGCATGAAGGTTTTCTTTGTAAACTTTTGTATATTTTTCCCCTTTAAAACTAACAATGATAATAAGAACATAATACAGGAGACATTTGCTTTTAAGAACAAACAGATAAAAAGCCACAGGTGTTATGCGTGTGTGATTTGTCCTTGAAGAAGCAGGTGTACTTAGCATTTCTTTAATTGGAAAAGTGTTTATACTTCCACATTTTCAGGCGTGTTTCATGATTCTCATGTATTTGTTTCTTTAAGGAGAAATCACACAGGCTAATTTCAAAAATATCTTCAAGGACAGAGGGAGTAAAGAATTAGATGGTTGCATATAGGTATGTTACTGTAGAAGCTGCTCTTTGCACTTTCAAAAAGAAATTCCAAATAGCACTGAAATCAATTCTGCAAATGGTTACTCATTTGCTAAATGAATGTGACTATCAATCCAGGTTAAGCCTGGAGGTTTGGCTTTTCAATTAGATTTCATGTCTCTATGCCTAGAAAAATGTAAGTCTGTGGGGAGCCCAGCACTTGGAATAGTTTTTCACAAAGCCAAGGACTTCCCAACATTGCCTCTTTCATGCCACTGTAGTGAAACGTAGTTGTGAGACCCATCATGTCCTCTTGAAAATATATAATGTCTATTTGAAAGAAACTCCAATTAAAAAAATACACTTGGTCTTAAAAGCTGAATGTGAACAATCTTCAAATCCAAACTTTTGTTACATTTTGAATTTGGAAGAGACTTCCCTAGGCTGTTTCTCACTGTATCCAGAACTATCTGAAATACATAAATACTAATGAAAAATTGCTCAAGTAGCTCAAATCCTTATAATCTGTCTGCCTGTTGTCTGTCTGTCATCTAAGATTTATATAAGGGATCTTCCATTTGTATTATATCAAGGTGATGCAGTGGTCACAACAACACAAAAATCAGATCAGACCCAATCTCAGCTAAGAATTCCCTGATTGTGTTATATCTTGATTTTGTTCGTTATCTGTAACTCTATGGTCTATCTAAGGAGGTGATTAAGAGATGGGGAAATATGTTTTCCAAGACCCAATTTAAAAAGTTTATTATGATGGAAGTCCTATAGAACTCAGCAAACAACTAAATTACATCCCACTGCTCTTAATAGAATGTAGTGAATGATAATTTTAACTTTTTTTTAATCTATTTGCTTTTGTTGGGGTAGAGGGTTATGAAGATTTATAAAGCACTTCACAAATGAATAATTATTGCACAATTCAAGTATTAAGGAGATGCAAAGGAACATGCAGTATACAGTTTAAACAAGAAACAGCTATTTTACATGTTTTTAAAGAAATAATGCCCTATTTGTGTGTGTCTCTCTCTCTATGTGTGTGTATGTGTGTGTAATTTTAGAAACCCTAGCTGAAACAGAACAGGCAGGTCTTCTGGAAGTAGGCCACCCACAAGTAGAAAATATTTGTCAGTTCCTAACTCTGAAATGCACCTTAATGTAGCAGCTGAACAAAATATGCTTTTCAGCACACCCACAAGCAAATTTCCCCATTTCTTTTCCCTTTTCAATATATAGTTCCCCCTGCCATCCTGCTAAAATCCTTTTCCTCATGTAAGGAGGGGAGATGAAGAGACTCCCCTACTTCTGGCATCTGGCTCCTTCAAGGAGTTTCACGATCTCAGGAGAAGGACAAAAAAGAGATGCTTGCGGGGGGGGGGGGGAGCACACTTATTTTCTAATCCATTCTTTAAAAAAAAAAACTATAGAGAGATAGAAAGAGACAGAGGGAGGGAGGGGAAGAACATGTTTTGCCTTGAAGGCAATATTTCTGGAGCCAATCGGAATGTAGCATCCACCCTTCTCTGCTCCTTAATTAGAGGGTTTAAGCAAGCTGGCTCGGTTGGATTTCTTACACATTTTCTCTAGAGGAAGGCAGTGGCAAGAGCAGCAGCAGCAGCGGTAGCAACAACTGCAACAATTCCTGGAACCATGGCTGAGTAAGACTACTCAACAGGAGGTAAAGGTGGAAAGGATTTGCTCCAGTTAGTTAATTCTTTTCTAGGTTAAGTGGTGGACCTTCCATTGGTGAGCTCTTCTCATCATGAGTGGATCCTTTGATAAGAAGATTAGCAGCATTTTGACTGACATTTCCAGCTCAATCAGCTGCCATGCAGGCACCAAAGACTCCCCTACGCTTCCTGAATCGTCTATCACGGACCTGGGATACTACAGCACCCCACATACTCAACATGAATATTACCCCACCCAGCCTTATACTCAACCTATGAATCACTATGCATACCACCCCCAATTTAACTTCAATGGGATGGGGGCAACGGGGACATACTCCCCCAAATCTGACTATCCTTACAGCACTTCATATAGACAATATGGACCTTTCCGGGATCCGCAGTTGCCCAGCCAAGAAACAGGTAAGGAAGTTTTTGAATCAAAGTCTAGAGTGTATGAGTTTGAGTGGATGGCTGTCCCTATTTTGGGGTTCAGGGAGATTAAATGGCTTGTAATCTCTTGGAATATGAAATCTGTCCCCCCCCCCGTTGGGGATATTTTAAGCAATGGGGTGTGAATAAGCAATTGAGCGTGTATGAGAGAGATATTGCCTTGCCAGAAAATATTGTCCTAGTGCAAACAAATGAATTGAACAGAGTCCCTTTGTGCTGTAACATATGACATCCAAACTTTTCTGGTATTGACCATTAAACCCTTAGATGGGATTCTGTCCTTCCTCCCCCAGGTCTTCCTTCAGAGTTTTGTAAAAACATATGCACAATCCACCATCCATCTGTAAAAGGCAATTGAGGGATAACTGAAATCAATTTTCATCCTTTTTCCCTTGCCCAAATCATATTCTGCCATAAAAAGGACTCTTACAATTGAAAACTTGATTTTGTGGAATTGTGAAATTCACAATAGAAAGTTGGGGGCTTTTCCTTCTGGTATGAAGTTTCTCTGAAGAACTGAAAACTGATTGATCCATTGTGGATCAAGATTTGTGTTTTTTTTCCTTCCAAGCTGAGCATAGGAAAGAATCAAACAGCCTTTCTCCCCTTTTCCCTTTAACTATTTCTTCTGCGTTCCTAGGTGAGAAAAGGTCTGCACATTTTTTTCCAATTTTGTGTGTTATTTCATGGCTTACTTTTTAATTTACAAAGTACAAATGCTCTTTGCAACAATACCTTAAATTCCATCTTTTTTTTAAGGATGTGAGAATTGAATTTTTTTTCTTGAAGAAAAAATAGTGCTAAGCCTGAAACTTTTTTTCCTGAGGCAAAAAAAAAAAATCTAATTTCCCCTCCTTTTAAAAAAACCCATATTTTTTCTAAAACAGTATTTTGCCAAATGTGCTAAATTTTTAGTAGCTTGTTTCTCTTCCACACAGAAACCTGTGATGTGTGCTAAACTTGTTATTTTGCTGCTTTAAATCTTGATACCAACATCCACAATTTGATGTTTGTGAGGGCATCTGCTTATTTTTATGAATTAAAAAACAGGGAAAGGAATAACATAAAAGTTGGAAAAGTGAAAGACAAAATACAGAACTTTGAAAATAATGGTGTAAAGATGAAGATGATGAATTCTATCTTTAAACAGAACTAGCATGTAGATTTTGGCTACAACTGTTTGAGGCCTGTAACTTACGCCCTCATTCCCCACAAATATTTCAGGAAGGGAATACGGGGTTGTGTGGTTCCAACTGTCCCAATGTAACTGGACAATGCTTCCTGCCAGGGAGGAAAAAAAATACATCTAATACATCTAGTGAGACAGAAAATATTTTTTTAAAAAAGCGAGGTCAAAACAGAAGAATGGAGAAGTCCATTTCTGAGGGAGAAAGATTAAGATAGAGCAAAGCAGCTAGACTGCAATGTACATCTGTTGAACTGTAACTTGGTCCTTTTAAGAAATATCAAGGGAACAAAAAAGAAAACTGAAAGGGGTAGGGAGGAGAGAAAGGAAAGCCTGAAAGAAAGAAAAAAGAATCAGAGGAAAAATAATAAAAAACAAGGGTGGGGGAGAGATATTTAGCAAAAGAAGGAAGGAGAGCTAAATAAAAGTTCCATCTTGTCCTAATTGTTCAGTAAATTGCATAGTAGAAAGCCTCTGAAATTTAGGAGTTTATTCTGATATATATCAACAAGCAAGCAATGATTGATTCAAACTAGGTTCATACAAACTACATACAGCTGCCCTTTGATAAGAGTTACATATGAGTAAATTCCATTGAGGGAAGAAGGCTTAGTTTTAATATATTTGCTCAGCACATCTCCAGAATCCTTTGCACAGTCCTTTAAGACCCTCTTTCATCCTTAGTCTGACTTTTCGTAGAAGAGAGAATTGTCCTTGTTAGATAGGAATGTGGAGGTAGAAGTGATAAGGCAGAGGCAGATGCTGAACGCTTCTTTCAGCATCTTGTTTGTATTCCACAAGTGCAGAGAAAAAAAACAGACAATAGGGAGATGGACAGCAAGTCCTTGAAATTATTGGAAGGACAGATTGTTCTGTGTGATATTGTTAGCAATTAATAGGGGTAATAGATGTCTCCTTGAAAAGAGCAAAAGTTTACAATTATAGGAGAGTTGTGGTAAATTGCTTTTCTTAAAGGGATGTTCTTTTGTCATATAAATCAAATTATCTTTCATTGTCATATCCAGCAATTCAGTGGCTGAGAATTGGTATTTCCTGAAACAAAGCCTGTTTTCTGCAGATGGAACATATGATGTTATTTTATCAAAGCAAAGGTTTAGAAACCAGCAGTACTTTCTTTTTGAGCGTCATTGCAACGCTTCTTTCTGCTATTTGGGCTCTTTCTCCCAGCGTATTTCTTTTGTCTCACTTTTGCAGTTTCAGTGAAGGAAGAACCCGAACCTGAAGTGCGGATGGTCAATGGAAAACCCAAAAAAATCCGAAAGCCCCGCACAATTTACTCTAGTTACCAGCTGGCTGCTTTGCAAAGGCGATTCCAAAAGGCGCAGTACCTGGCGTTACCAGAGAGGGCAGAGTTGGCTGCACAACTTGGACTGACCCAGACTCAGGTAAAACTTTAGAAACAGGAAAGAAGGCTCATCACAAGACAGAAAAAGTGCGCGTGCAGTTTTGTTTAGCCTTTCATTTTTGTTTTGGAAACACGAGTGTAAAGAAATGTAGATCCTTGAAACTCCAACAAAATTTTAGAGTGCTGCAAAATGCAATGCTTTAGATCTTGAAAATTAGGAAAAAATCCAGTGTTTTTTGAAAAAGTAAAAGGCCAAGTTAAATAAAAGCCAAGGATAACATAATTAGTTTCAGATACTCTGCCTAACATCATCATCATCATTATTACTATTACTATTATTACTATTACTATTATTTCATAATCTTTTGGGGTTTACGGACTGGTTGAACTGAATTCAAATTGGTTCACCTTCTTCTAGTTATTAAAGTTAATCCAATATATTCATTCTCTTTTCATTACATTTTGAAAATGATTTTTCCATATTTGTCTTCTCACTTATTTAAATATGTTACTTTATGTGTACATGTGGTTTTAAAACAAAAGAGTATATTCTTTTTCAGGACTGTTAACCATTTACAACAGATAACTCTTTGCACACTGAGAAGTAAAAATGTGTGAATTTTATGATAACACAATAATGACTTAGGATGAAGGGGATCACAGAAATGAGGTGGTGAGTTCCTCTGTTGTTATATGGAAGACAAACACGATGTCTTTTACAATGACAATAATTCTAATTAGAGAAGCATGAGCTGTCATAGATACAAAATGTAATAATAGAACCACAGTAAGCAAGCTGGGACAGAACAAAGATGGGAAGGAGTGAAGTCATTTTTCTCTGTCCTTTTAGCCCTGTAGCCTACTTGCATCTGGCTGAGACCCAAAGATCCAGAATGGTATGCTGACTAGCCAGAGAGGCGAAGAAGCATTGCTGCAGGAAACATGTGGGTGGGGCAAGGCAACCTACAGTATGTGTTTTGGCAGGTTCTCCCTTTTTTCCTCCTGAAGCTAACTGAGCTTAGGCCAAGAGAATTGATGACTGTGAGAAGGAAGTTGGCTTGAGTGGAAAAAGAATTCATTGTTAGTCTTTAGATGAACATCAGTAAGCCAACTGGTTATTGTAGGCCTTGGTGAGTCTAAGGGCTGCTAGTTGCCAATTAACAGAAGGAATGATATTCTATGTACTATGTTTTTATTTATTGTGTATACATTTTTTTTTAAAAAAAGAAAAGTCCTTTGCACCTTGAAAAGGGTCTCAAACTCCCATTCTGCAACACAGGAACTACATTTGAAAGACAGTTAAGATGCAGAAAAAGATGACTTCACTTTCCAGAGTTGAGTTGAAGAGGGAATCTTAGGAAGACCCTATTTCTATGCAAGCTCCACTTGTTGAATGTCCCTCTTCTTGCTTAGCTGTGTCAAGAGCTGTTAATGGTAAGAAGACATGGCTTCTTTGCCACCTCTCTGCCTGGGAAATAACAACTCACCTGGGGTCAGCCATAGTGCAGGTTAAGCTGAGAATGGAACTCTGGATTCTCATCCAGGAGTGTCTCACTCAGGATCCCTCTGGATCTTCTGGACTTCAGTTCCCAGTTTCTCTAGCAGGTCTCACTGGTACAGACATTGTCCTATTTTTTTTTTAAAAAAATAGAAGCCGAAGAGTTATTGTACCACTGTATTAAATTTACAGATTTGAATGATATTTCATTTTTTATTGCCTCGGAGCAAAGTTACAATCTTTTGCAAAATTACTTGGGAGCAATTAAGATGCAGAAAAGTTCTGGGAAATCATGAATAGATACATGAGTCTGCAGTCTTAGTACATTTACTTTGGAGCCTACCTACTCAAAGTCAGTGGGATGTATTTCCAAACAAGCATGGATAAGATCTGTCAGACTGAAACTATTTCTAAAGTTTTTCATTTTGCTTGATAACAGCTAAAACAATGAGATAATATATATAGAAGGGAACGCTGCCTTTTTAAAGTAACATTCAGTATTCATCTTTTCGTTAGAAAAAATCTTAATAGTCGCACTAAAGTAAAACAGTCCTAAAGCCAAAATAGAAATACTACTTTTCATACTACGTGAAACCATTCAGAAAGGAATACTAACTTCATTTGTGATTCTATAGACATTGCCCAGGAATAAACCTAAAAATAAGTAATTCTTACTTTCAGTGATATCTCTATTTGGAGAATGTAGGTAGAATTGAGAATAGCATTTTTTATCAGATTTTCCAAAGCAAGACCTCAGGGGCTGGGTTCCCACATACTAAACAGTGACTGGCTTAACCTGAGGATGGGGTTTTTTTTGTTTTTTTAAAATAAGTTTTAATTGGTGACTTAGCTGTGTATTCATTTGGTTAATTTATATGCCAGTGTATTGTGAGAACTCAGAAAATGGATTAATTGAATACTGAAGCATACATAAACCTAGCCAGTAGGCACCCAACTTTTCACTATAATTATAAATGTTTTTAAAATACATAAATACCTTCTTGCTACATCCAATGGATAATAAAGCAAGATGCATCTTTCACTGTTCCCTTTGGCTTTATTCAAGGATACACTGAACTATGAACTAATGGTACTGATTAATTTTACACGACTACATTGACAATTTTATTTTAGCCTGACATGTTGTAAGAGCCCAAGCTACTTGTCTCTACTATATAGGCAATTTGCAATCTAGAGAAAATTAATGGTCCCCTCTCATTTATCCTAGTATTCAGTCAACTAATTCAAGATGAAGCAAAAACAATACGAAACAAAAACAGGAAAAACAGAAGGAACAACAAACATACTCCATCCCCTAACAAACTCTTATATTTTCATCTGTAGCCCTTGATGCTGTAAATGAAGTTATATGGCCCCAAAGTGAAACAGGATCACAAGTTTAGGAGCTTAGTAAGTACAAGGCTAAAACTAAATGGTTCTGAAAATTCCCTTTAATAAATGAATAAATATATATGAGGTTAGACCAGGGGTAGGCAACCTTGGCTCTTTTATGACTCGTGGACTTCAACTCCCAGAATTCCTGAGCCAGCATGGCTCAGCTTGGAAACCTTTCCTCTTTCCCTCAGCATGGTTGGCTCAGGAATTCTGGGAGTTGAAGTCCACGAGTCATAAAAGAGCCAAGGTTGCCTACCCCTGGGCTATACCATATCTTGCCTGCAAAAATTCAGGCAACCATAAGAGAGCAGCAACGAGATATAAGAAGCTTTACTGCCATCTAGTAGTCATCCAGTTTAATGCTGCCTAGATATGTCTAAATGAAAGAAATAGAAAAATAATACACAACGCTGGATTGCCAAAGAGTGACTCCTTAGGCAGGGATGAAATCAAGGTAAAATATACTTTTTGATTGTCAGGGTTTAACTTTTAATCAGAATGTCATTCAATAATAACATAAAAGTTATAATACAATTAAAATATTTTTTTTAAAAAAAACCTAATCTGAGCCTATCTTTACTAGATTCTTTAGAGCCGAGTCTTAGAATCTATAAAATTATATGAAAAGTATCACCTATCTCAAGAATGCCCTTTTCACCATTCATTTTTTGCAGATTGTTCTCAAATAATTTGAATTAGATGGTCATCTTAGATTTTAAATATTTAACACACTTCTATAAAAAGAAATCCATATTAGTAATGTGTGTATTTATATTTAATTCCATAGCTATCTAGCAAATATCCTCAAAGTAAAATATTAGATCTCTGTCTCTTTCTGAGTCCTGGATGCTTAGAATTACATTAGATAATAATGTACTTTGCATTGCCTTATTGGATTGAAATAATAATTAGCTGGATCTGGACATAATCATGAACAACGCATCTTTTGAATGGAATAGGACTTAGGTTAATCACAACTTATTTGAAGTCCATTTATTATAATGGATCTATTTTAAACATGATTTGATCTGGATCTCATTCACTATGTTCAGTGAGCCTTGTTCCAGTGGTGGGATTCAAATATGTGAACAATCGGTTCTCTGTGTGGATGCCGCTTCCGGAAGTCCATTCTGGGCCTGGGCAACAAAAAATTAGCTACTGGTTCTGCTGAAGTGGTGGGAACTGGCTGAATCCCACCACTGCCTTGTTCCCAAGTAAGTATGAAGAGGACCATAGCCTTCCTTTAAATCAATGTTTCTCAAACTTTAAGATTGCAACTTCCCTTTTGGGAAAAATACCCACAATACATTTCTATCATTTTATAAGTGCCCAAAGCACTCTTTTAAGCCAGTGTTTCTTAACCTTGGCAATTTTCAGATGTGTGGACTTCAATTCCTAGAATTTCTAGCCAACATGGTCTGCAGCCAAACAAAATCCCCCAGCCAGCAAAGTCTGCACATCTTAAAAGTTGCCAAGTTAAAAAACATCAACTTAAATAGAGGATTAGAAAAAAAGATTTAGTGTTTCATTTTAAATAATGGAAAGTTCCTTTTAGTTCAGAGATCAGGGTTTTTGTACTACTCATTTGACTTTCTCACATTAGTAGTAGCCACCATGGTCAACATCAGGGTTAGTTGGAATCATAGAATGACATAAGAAATGCTCAGGGTACCATTTTAAGACACAGTATTGATAAACTGGTAGGTAGTCCACCAAAAAGAAAAAAAACTGAAGTCTTCTGAATGACCCTTATATAAACCGAAGGAATTCTCTCTCCTACAGAAGTTCCTGCTGATATAGTTTAATTTGTCAGTGGTTGGCATTTGCAGAAGATTGATTGAAAGACCACAAGATATTTAGGCTATGTTAATAGGATAGTGCAAATGACTGTTTCTTTTCTGATTTCCCCCCTCCCTCCCTCCTCCCCCTCTCTCCTACAAATATAGCCAGAGTCAAAGCAGGGTTTTTTTTTCATTGTCCTGAGTACATTCTTTGATAAATAGGTTACAGAGGGTGTAAAATGTGAGAAATGTACTACCTTTATCCTGATATAACTTGCTTTTCAAACAATTTCCAGAATAGGAGGAGAAAAGCAACGGAGAAAGAATGAGACTGGGATCTGTTTCATATTAGACAAATTTAACTAATTAATTGCACATAAATTGTGTTAATGAGACCTCAGCAGGTTGAAGGTGTCAGCAGGTAAATCCATTTGTGAGAATGAGTTTTTCTTTTCTCAATCACAATTCAGAAAACGTGAGGGTAGTTCCCAAAGTAAAAAGGTATCATTTATCATAAGCTTGTATTTTAGGCAAACCTAGCTTTAATTCTGTGGAGAAGTTATTGCTTAATGAATGTGAGGAAAACTAAAGTCTTTGGACTCCTATTAAAATATTCCAGCCTTTTGTCAAATGCTCACTCACTATGCTCAACACAATATTCTTAAACAGCTGTAAACCAAACATCATGTGTGATTGGTGATACATATACGCACACACCCAACAGAGTTAGCTTCCTCTGTTTCAGCTCCCACATTCACACATGAAGCTGTCTTGTGTGTCATCCTCTCCCACAAGCCTTCCCTCCTAAGCAGGTCATGAGGGGCTGGTTAAGAAGCTGGACTGGAATGTGGAGCCACCCAAGCACCCTGAGGACAACAAGGCTGCTTAATTGCTTTGATCTAAATTAAGGGAGCAAGTTGGCGTGCTTCCGGATTCTGATAGGTCAAGAGCATAGCATTGTGGTGGCAACCTGACACATCGAAAATTGCACCCAACAAAATACTCTCGGGGTGTACAGATGAGTTTTTGTTCCTACAAACACAAACTGCCCCATGACAGTCAGGAAGGAATTTTCCCCGAGGGTCACCATGGTCACTGACCCAAGTTTTTTTTCTAGACTTTTTTTGGGGGGGAGGCAGGAGGTGGCCTGATGCTTTGCTCATTTGTCTGAATCATCTGAAGTTTTTCCCATACGGGACTGGTTTTGTTCCTGTTGAATATGAGATAGCCATGTGATTATCAAAGCAAGAATTTTTTCTTCTCTTGCATTTTTTCCATGTTTAGCTTGCTTGAATCATCTTACACAATGCTGAATTAAATGTACTATATCTGTTGTTCGTCCATCGATTTCGATGAGGACCTTGACATCTTGTAGATTATGGGCCATCAACGATGTGTCCGTAGATGGCTGATAAGACCGATGTTAGCACGGAATGTTCTACCACATACTGAACAAAGAAATGTAGACACTGTTACTTCAGCATTTACAGCTCTGGCTTTGCGGAGTGCTCGCTTCTCTTGTGCCGAGATTGTCTTTCTGTGTTCATATGTCTGGCAACCCTGGTACACCAAGGTGCGCCATGTCGGTCGATCATGCGCCAGAAGTTCCCAAGAGATGGTGTTACTATCCAGGGACTTGAGAGAGGCTTTCAGCATGTCTTTGTATCGCTTCTCTTGTCCCCCGTGCGATCGTTTTCCTTAAAACAGCTCACCATAGAAGAGCTGTTTAGGGATGTGATGATTTGGCATCCTTACAACATGGCCTGCCCAGTGCATCTGGGCTTTCATCAACAGAGTGTAAATTGATAATAAGCCTGCTCTAGAGAGGACATCTGTGTCTGGTATCTTATCCTGCCACCGGATCCTCAGAATTATACGAAGGCATGTGGAAGTAGTTCAGTTGCCTAACATGCCTCCTGCACACTGTCCAGGTCTCACTAGCATACATCAGGGTAGTTAGCACTGCTTCCTGGTAAACTTTAAGCTTAGTAGCAAGGCTTATTCCATGGCGGTTCCACACGTTAGTCCGCAATCTGCCAAATGCAGAACTTGCCTTGGCAATTCTAAGTTGACCTCGTTGTCAATTGTCACTGCACGGGAGAGGGTACTACCAAAATACGTAAATTGGTCCACTGCTTGCAGCTTTTGTCCCTTTACTATGATGGTAGGCTCTTGATATTGGGTTTTTGGAACTGGCTGATATATCACTTCAGTTTTCTTCGTGTTGATGAAGAGGCCAAAGTTGTCACAAGCGGCTGCGAATTGTCCATGCTGGCTTGCATTTCCTGCTCTGATCCTACTATTTGCCTAAATACATTGTCTAGTGTGAATTTCATAACCCAACCTCCTCCAGAGGTATTAAAATATACTTACAGCCATCTATGACAAATGAGATATAGTCCCTCACTTTGGTGTCATAAGCTTCTCTAGTGATTTGCTGAACTTGGAGTAAAAAAAAAAGTCAGCTTTAATCTTGTGGAATATTCATTTTAATATTTATAGAGATTCTCAATCATGCAGGTCATGGTTGTCCCAAAGATGCTTTTCCAAAAGACAACTGGACTTCCTTGATTTATTCCTTGAAAATGTTTCACTTCTCATCCAAGACACTTCTTCAGTTCTGGATGAGAAGCGAATAAACCAAGAAAGTCCAGCTGACTTTTGGAAAGGCACCAAAGGATTCATTTTAACAGAACTCCCCTAACCCCATCAGTCAGAGTTTTTGCTAGCAACAAATACTCATAATTAAATTTCATATATTTTCCACCCCCACCCCCCCAATTTTAGTTACTTTAAATTTTCATTTCTGTATTAAATTTATGGTAGACATTTTATTACTTCTATTGTTAAATTATTGGGAATTAGAAATTTTTGTCATTGAACTGACCCTCGCCCAATAGATTGGCTTTTTTTCCAATAAAAACAAAAGTCCCATGAATGTGTACATTCTAAATCATAATGTAGACCTACAGTGAAGAGTGCATTAATTTCATATTTTGCAAATTAATATGTAGTTCACTGGCCAAATATTTCTTGTTTTCCCTGCCCAAATTTTATACTGTCAGTAGTGTTTTTCTGCAACTATTGTCAAGATGCACAGGCTGCGAGTTTTTGACGTGTCTTAATTAAAATATATCAATATATATTATGGAAGTCTCATCACTTCCATCCTAATTTGGTAGGAACTTTTCTAAGGTCACATTTTAGAAAATGAAAGAAATACCCAGAATGTAGTTGTCTTTGGACATGAGGGGGAGCTCTTTCTTTAATCTTATAAATTTCAATGATCTCTCTGAGTCTATCAGTTGTCCTTCCACTTCTGATTTAGTATTTTCCCTTCTGTTGTTCTTTTTATTATCTCACATGCATGCATGCATGCTTGCATACACTCATATGGTTTAGCGTAGTTCCTCCTTTTGTATATTTTTCACCCTCTAAAATGGAACACTAGTGGAAGAATCATGTATTAATTGCAGTTCTTTTACTAGAAAAATATTCTGACACATTGTACCTTTCCAGTTTGAGCAGAAGTAGACTTGATGCACTTTACTTGAACTAAAAAGGTCCATATAGGCATTTTTCCTTTTGTTTGGGTTTTGATAGTTGAAGTCCACACATATAAAAAGTATGAGACTGGAGATTGTTCCTCAGTTATCAACAATTTGTGAGGATTTTGGTTTATTTCAGATTAAATCATCTGATCTGTTCTTGTGAGTTCACAATCCTATCCTGTTGCAGGTTAAGGAATTATCAACCAGTCAGTATAGCTGCAATTTAATTGACTGCTCAGAATAAAAACTTGCCAATTCCATAGTAATAGTAATAGTAATAGTAATAGCACTTATATGCCACTTCACAGTGCTTTTACAGCCCTCTCTAAGCAGCTATAGAGTCAGCATATTGCCCCCAACTGTTTGGGTCCTCATTTTACCGACCTTGGAAGGATGGAAGGCTGAGTCAATCTTGAGCCAGTCAGGTTCTTCCATTGATTACCAACTGCGGAGAGATTTCCCGTGTCTCCAGAAAAAATATGGGTGTTTCTCGTTAAACAAAACAGACTTTGTTTCCAAGTCTTCCTGCTTCCTTGTTCTGATTAGGAAGAGTTTCTGTCTCTACTATCTTTGATCCTTTATTCTTTCTTCCTACCCGCCACCCACTTTCCTTTGTTTTACATATACTCTTTCTCTAGAGTGGTGTGTAGATGGAGCCATTCATTTTTACAATGGTATTGGGAAGATTTCCAGCCAGCTAGGCCATTATTCCAGCCCTGCCCTAAGTTTCATCATAACAGTCTTCCCAATCCCAATGTTTAGCATCCTTGAAAGACTTGTAAAACCTTTTGAGCAAGCTTTTATCACCTGACTTTTTTGCAATGACCCACAATTCCCTGCTTCTTTTAATACATCAGTTGGTAGACCATTTTAGAAATTAACATGGAGTTTCACTTTTCAAAAGGAATCAGGGATATGCTTATTTTCTTCTACACATTCCTGGAAGGGGTTTAGAGCAGAGATCAGCTAATGGTTGTGATTTAATCTCACAAACTTTCTGCATTTTAGGGTTAGATTGAGGAATAGTAATTAGATTCTCTATTTATGCTAGGTCAAAACTAAACAAAACAAAGTGTTGCCAGCATGCTCTCTACAGTCAGGGATAATTGTAGTTCATGGTTTAGTGCAATCTGTGAATCCATATTCTGAATCCAATCTATGAACTATCTAATCCAGTCTTTCCTAGAACTAAGAACTAGAACTAAGGAGAAACTTCCTGACAATTAAAACAATTAATCAGTGGAACAACCTGCCTCCAGAAGCTGTGAATGCTCCAACACTGGAAGTTTTTAAGAAGAGACTGGACAGCCATTTGTCTGAAATGGTATAAGGTTTCCTGCCAGAGGATTAGATGACCTCCAAGGTCCCTTCCAACATCATCATCATCATCATCGTTGTTGTTGTTGTCATATCTGAAAATACCAGAATTTGAGCCTGTTACCTGTTTCATGAAAAGTCTATAGAGCTCTTCTTGAACTGAACAAACAACACTTTTCCTTGTGCTGATGGAGGAAATGCAGAGGTTTATCTTTGGTGAGAAAGGACTGGTTTAGAATAGGATAGAATAAATGCAGTCTATTCTACAAATTAAAATAATTTGTAGATAATAATAATAATTTTCTCTCTTTCAGGTGAAAATTTGGTTCCAGAATCGAAGATCTAAATTTAAGAAATTGTACAAAAATGGAGAGGTCCCCTTGGAACACAGCCCAAATAACAGTGACTCCATGGCTTGCAATTCTCCACCATCTCCTGCCCTCTGGGACAGTAACACTCATAATAACCCAGCCAGCAGGAGCCAAATCCCCCAGCCACTCTCTTATAACTCTCCCCCAAGCTACCTGGAAGATCACAATTCTTGGTTCCATCATCAGAATCTGAACGGGCCTCACATACAACAACAGGGACCTCCGCCCACTTCTGGCTCTATGCATCACCCATCTCCAGGGCCTCCTCCCAATCCTGGAGCAGTTTATTAACCTCCTTTCCCTCCTCAATGAAACAGGTGGAGCAGGAAAAAAGGAATGAGGGAGAGGGAGACAGAGAGGGAGAAGCAAACAGAAGGCAACCAGTTAAAACTCTTTGATATGTTTCACAGGGCATGCACACGTTCCATCTCATCTCAGGAACAAATGAACTGCAGCAGGGCTAAGACATTAGGGGAGACCATGGGGTGGGGTGGGGGGGGTTAAAGAAATGTGAAAGGGAGAGAAACATCTTGCAGCCCATGTTGTATCTCAATCAAATCGGTTTCATCAAAGACTCTGTTACCCACTTCCTGGATGATTTATCTCTGGGCTAATTGTTCCCAATCTCCACCATCAGCTTTGTTTACAAGACATGGTTGGATGGCTCTCAGCATGGTTAGAGAAGAGCAAAAAGCTGCATGGCAAAGGAGAAAAAAAATCCTTCTTTTCCTTTGGTTTTGTTTTGTTTTATTTGTTGATGACCTCCCCAAGCAGAGTGGTTTTGAGAGGTATCAATTTCATGTGTCTTTTGAAAGATTGGTATGCCTGCAAATACCAATCAATTATTGATACTTATGACAGGAATAGGCTTGAGTTATTAGTTACCCATGCAGTTGGGAATGGGAACAATGTAAGATATCCAACTCTTTCTCATTTTTACACACCACCTTGGAAATACTGACCTACTAGAAATTATAGCAATGTTCTACATAATGAACGGGAGAGGTAGATGTCAACAACTATTAATGTGATAGATTTTGTAATCACTTTAGGATTAAAGTCACTTCATAGTCAGGTAGATGTTATACAAAACTGGTCAGTATGTAGTGTTAATTTACAGTAGTGCTACTGGCTAGCACAGAAAAAGGGTGAAGGAACCCAGAAAAAAGCTATATTGGCCTTATCAATGTTTATTTTGGATTTATACTGAATGCACTCTATGGGATTTATTGCAGATTAAAAAGAAAAAGAAAAAACTTTTGTACTGTTTTTTCATCTGGTGATGGAAAAGAAAAAAGTGATCTCAGTTATATACTAGCCCTAGTTAATAGTCTCATACCATAAAAACAAATGAAGAATTCTAATACACAAGAGAACAACAACAAAAAAAAAACCGATCTGCTTTATAATTCTCAACACGTACTGTTAAACCAACGTTTTTTTTTGACGATTGTTCTTTTTTAATAAACTCTAGTAGCCTGATTTACTTAACATTAAATCACAATCAATGGTTAACAAACCAGAATTCCTGGCTTCATTCAACATGTTAAACCAGAGCCTAGGCCAGGGGCAGGCAACCTTGGCTCTTTTATGACTCGTGGACTTCAACTCCCAGAATTCCTGAGCCAGCTAATACAGACTATTACAGTGCAGATAGTCCTTCAGCACAACTGAGCACAAAATTTCTGTTACTAAGTAACAGTTTTTAAGTGAGTTTTGCCCCATTTTAAGAACTTTCTTGCCACAGCTGTTAAGTGAATTACTGCACCTATTTAGTTAGTAACATCTAACACAGTTGTAAGGTGAAAAAGTCCTCATTGATTTTTTTTTTTTCAGAAGGTCGCAAAAAGTGATCACATGACCCAAGGACACTCATATCATCAATATGACTCAGCTGCCAAATGGCTGCTGATTACAACCAATGCGATGATTGTGTGAAAAACAGTCATAAGTCCCTTTTTTCTATGCCGTTGTAACTTTGTACAATCGCTAAACAAAAGGTTATAAGTTGAGAACTACCTGTATGGGGTCACACAAGGTAAAATACATGGTGTAACCATGCTTTGCCCAATTAACCATCATGGATTCATACAAAATAGAAAATAATAGTAAATAACAAACTACTAGAGCTGGGTTTGTATGGCAATCTAAGTTAAAATCAACCAAAGCATAAACCTTAGCACAATTGTGTAAATACGACTTAGGCTAATGTGTGAACCATGTTTGATGCTCTTCATTCAACTGATAAGTTACATTGTGGAAGTGCTAATTATACATAGAATTGGGACATCAAAGATATGGATTCTCTGCCCCAGGCCAAGTATAGGTTGACAAAGATATTAAGGAATGGAAAGGCCATGAAGGGGGGGGGGAAGTGTTGTCATCATAGGTAACTTCAGGTATACAATAGAGTAAGGCTACATATTCATTAATGCTAGGAAAGATTGAGGGCAATAGAAGAAGGGGATGACAGAGAATGAGATGGCTGGATGGAGTCACTGAAGCAGTAGGTGAGAACTTAAATGGACTCCAGAAGATGGTAGAGGACAGGAAGACCTGGAGGAACGTTGTCCATGGGGTCGCGATGGGTCGGACACGACTTCGCAATTAACAACAACAACAACAACACATATTCATTACTTCATTTCTTGAATTTGAGCCCACTGATACAATGGAATTTGTTTTCATGTAAGTATGAGGAGTGCACTGAAAGAATCCTGATTTTTGCTTTGGTCAAATGCAAAAATCTGACAACATGATGCTGGGGTGGGGGGGGGGGAGAGAATATCACCAAAGCTTTGCTGTCTTGGTCTCTGCTTATTCCAGCTTCAAACAAGAGTTACTTCAGGTTGGAATTTAGAAATATCCCAAAGAATAAAAATAAGACACGCGTTGGATTTCAGTTGAAAAACTGACCTTCATTTAGGGTTTTTTTTTTAATGATGCAGGAGAAATATTTTATTTAAAAGTTAGGGAGATATTTAAAATAATTCAGAATAATTTAAGTTATTTTTTAAAAATAAAGTAAAAGTTGTGTGTTGCTCTAAAGTCATTTTAAGATATTACCAAAGAGGAAAGTTTGTTTTTTTAAAGCAAATGCCAGAACAAATCCATCTTTGATAGTTTTTAAATAAAGCTGTGTGGGGTTTTTTAAAAAGAAAAAGAAGAAGAATCTACAATTTGAATAAGTAATCTCTTATGCCAGAGATGGCAAAACTTTTAGAGACCCAGTGCCCAAACTGCAACCCAAAACCCACTTATTTATCATGGGGTGCCAGGTGGGCATGGCTGCGGTGGTCATGGCAGACTGGGTGGGTGGGGCCAGGGTGGCAGGGGCCAGTCGCTCGCCATCTCCAGGGCACGGCACACATGCCCACAGAGAGGGCTCTGAGTGCCGCCTCTGGCACACGTGCCATAGGTTCGCCACCACTGTTTATGCTGTATTGTGTCAGGGTTCATATTTCTGTTGCCTGGTATAATAAATAAGGAGAGTAGGGTGAGGGGAATGTATACATGGCTTTGTATGAAACTTATTTTAAATTAAAAAAAACTTTTTTCTTTTTTTAGATCTTAGGGAAATTTTAAAAAAATCATTTCATAGAGATGGAAACTTTGCTTGAGATTCCTTTTTGCTTTGGTAGCAAACAGAACCTTTCTGTATAATATTAATAAAATATCTTTTTGAACTTCACCAAATAAGATTTTCTTTTTTGCTTAAGCAGCTATGGTTGAGGACTATGGATTTTGTAAATGTAGATCCAGAAACATTCTTTTCTTCCTCAAAGTTATCATTCCAGGATACTGTGATCATAAAATATTTTTCAGACTCCGCATAAAATATTTTAGCATATGCCATACAGTATATGGAGGTCTACAGTGGAATCTATGAAAAAAGATATGGTAGCATGGTGATTTGAATAATCATGCACTTGATGTCCTTAACCTGATGCTATATAGATCTATTGGTCTACAAATCCCAGAACTTCCAAATAGAATTTGAGGTGTTAGCACAGTGATGGCGAACCTTTTAGAGACCGAGGGCCCAAAAACCAGCCCGCTCCCTGGCCCACCCTTGCTCTACCCCCCGCTCTGCCCCGCTCCACCCACCCACAGGACCACTCACCACAGATCGCCCAGGCAGCCTTGCAGCGCCATGGCGGCCACACCTTCCACCTGCACCCTGCAGCATCATCTGCACATGATGGGGTGTGAGGGCGGAGTCTTGCCCCTGCTGCCCAGCTTCCATGTGCTTGGCTGCTCTGCTCTGTGTGGGCTGTGCCTGGGGGAGCCTCTCCTCCAGGCAGGCTGCTGGTGAGGGGGTTGTGGGGAAGACAGGGCTGGGACAACAGCATGCATGCCCACAGAGGGGGCTCTGAGTGCCACCTCTGGCACATGTGCCATTGGTTCGCCACCATATGTTGGCACATCTGGAAACTAATTATTTGGAAGCATGGCTTTTCTATTCATCCTAGCAACATCAGAAATGTAATCATAATCTTTTACTTGCAGGGACATCTCAGCAATTGTGACAGAGGTGGTGTGGGAGCATATTCCAAATGCCATGGGCAGAAGATTCTAGGCTTAAGAAATCAAGTGCTTAGTTAACTTTATGAAATTCATTCTGCCTTGTGTAGGCAGTAGTGTTCAAGAGGGATAATGAAAATTGGATCTCAACCATTCTTCTTTTAAGATACATTTGGGGAAACAATAAGAATGGAGAAAAGTCAGCCTGAACTGCCTAATCCAAAAGATTTCCTGAAAGGATAGAAAGATAGGCTAAATCCAATTCTTTAAGACCAGATTTACTACATATTTTTTGCAGCCTTCTAGAACTTGTAGGAGTTAAAGAGGATAAAAATATTTCAAATGAAGTAGACAAATCCAGTAAGACAGGTAGCACAGAAACATATCCATGGCTATTGTTGGGGTTCCTACAATCTAAGAGAGCCTGCTGCTTTCCCTGGATCTTCATTTTTTTAAAAATTATTATTATTTAGCTAGAGAACTTCAGGAATACAACATTGTGAATATCAAAAATGAGCATTGATGGGACTCAATAGGAAACTGACTTGTTTTACTGAAGGCCCTGGCCAGGCTTCCATGGAAGTTCTTGAGTAAGCTCTTCAGGGCTCCTCATGAACTTTGGTTGAGCAATTGTTATCATAAAGAAAGAGAGACATATCAGGTTCCTCAATGCTGTGGGAAACTACAGTGAATGAACTTGAAGAATGGTTAAAAAAAAATTGGAGCAGACTGTGCAACTATGACTTGAAACTTTGAGAAGCACCAACAATGTATGTTTGTAGAAATAGATATAACTAACTGTTCACAATTCCCAGGGCATACAAATCCCCCTTTATTTGTGGATATAGAACCATATTTAGAATTTTGAAATATTTTATGAACATTCTCATAAAACGTTTGCCATGATGAGTTGTTTCAATCACAAAACATTGATATGATAACAAGAAA